CTATTATGTTGCCATTGAAATTTTTCTTCATGGGTACTCAATTGATATTTGTCTCTGAATTATTATTTTTCTAGTAATGGTCACTGATGTTACTTTCACATATTGAAGCTACACTACAGTTATGGAAACTCTTGCATGCTGCTCATTATGGAATTATTTATTCTCTGTTTGAAATTCAATGGGTGGATAATTAATTCCATTGATTTACAAAATTTATTTTGAAATTTCAGATACTTTGGCGCGCCAGGCTGCAATGATATTCAAGTGTATATTGTTAATGTATTACAAGAATAGCAGAGGCCGCAATTATCGTAAGCAGGTGAGGTAATACGTTATGAAGCACTAGGGAAATTTAGTGTAAGTGTTTAATGTTTTGGGAATGGAAGAGTATTTGAAGGCGGTTTTTCTCTTCTTTTTAAGTTATATTATTACCAACATGTCAGCTATTTCTTTTAAGATGCCCAAGAGTTTTGATGAGTTCAGAATCTGTATCTTGTACATTACATTTCTGATTGTACCATAATTCATTTATTAGGGGCAAATGCTGACTTTAGTTGAATACCTACTCCTGCTTTACCGAGCTTTATTGCCAACACCAGTTTGGTATCGTTTCTTCCTGAACAAAGAATATGGAAGCCTCTTTTCATCACTGATGACAGGATTGTATCTAACATTTAAGCTCACATCTGTTGTTGAAAAGGTGAGATATTCTTTAAAAATTTATGTTTGTATGAGTGTAGCATGTGATGAGTATCCTTCTACTTCTAATTTCTCTCGCTTAATTATAAACAAATGTTCAGGTTGTGCATACTTCTATTACTTAAACCTGTTTTTTACTAGCTTTCTTTGTTTGTTAAACTAAACTGTGTAATATTAGTTCTGTTTTTTTTTTTTTTTTTTGCGGTTGGTTCAAGCAGAAAATATAATTTATTTGTAGAAATAGGCCTTGCCAAAAATAAGTTCATCTTTAGTAAAAAAAAGATTTCCAAGATACAAACTTTTTTATGTGTGAATAATATTACACTCCTCTCCCATCAGACATTAAGATTTGCTACACTTTTGTCTTTATGATGTAAACAAATCTCATTGATAATAAGTAGTTAACAATAAGTCTCTCAAAAGCTCCCCCCTCTCTTTTATTTACATTTAGTGTCACCAACAACTATTTTTTAACATTCCTACAGGCTTTGGGGTTTTAGAAGATGAATTCAATTTCTTATTTCCATTACACCATCAGATTTGATGCAAGTCATTGGCGCCGACCGATCTTGTGCCTATATAAATGTAGCTAATATTAATCTTTTGGCGAGCTTTCCTAAATAGAGAGAAGGGAAATGTAATTTGAGATTCTGAGCATCTCTCTAGAGAAGGGAGTGGTTCATGCATATTTGTTAAAAATCCTAAATTTTGTAACATCCTTTTGCATTACAGGTTCCCCGGAATAAAAGAGCCTTTTCTTAATAAGTGAGAAGTTTGGGAGAGCTTTTTCTGTTTTGTTATCTATTTAATTTTACTCATTTAAAAAAAATGCGGAAGAGAAAATTATTATTGATTTAAGGGGCGTTAATGGTATTTTGCTACTATCTCCCCAGGGGGATTGAACTCTATCCCTTGAGGTTTCAAGGTCAATCTATTTCCTTAAGCTGTGACCCCTCATGGACATGTTAATTTACTCATTGTTTAATCATTTATGGTAATGATTCAAACTATGAAGTCATCAGATGGGTTACAATGAAGTGTTCATTAAATTTTTTATATACATAGTAAACTAGATTTTTAGTTTATAATTAAAGTACTGTATGTGTATAGCATGGGTTGACATCTGGTGGTTCTTCACTTAACTGTTTAGTGGTTTTCACTTTTCAGGTGCAATCTTTCTTTGCTGCAGTGAAGGCATTGTCACGTAAAGAAGTTCACTATGGGGCTCATGCAACATCAGAGCAGGTACTATGGATGCCTTCATTTTATTTTGCTCTTGGCCAATCAATTGTTAAAGTTTCAATGTTTATTCATTATCTCTTCAAATTGCCGTTTTTAGTTGTTAAATGAGAATTTGCTAATATATGAGTTGCTGTCCTGTTATGTTTTTTCCCAATTTGGTTTGGTGGTTGTCTTTTCTGTTATCGAGAGTGAGTTCAGTTAACTTTTCTCTAGTATGTACTATTTTATATACCCTAGTGTTTTTTAGGTATAACTAATAACTACAACTGAAATGTGAAATGAAAATTGCCGTGCACGAGTGCGGTAAGTGGTGCATTGTGCACCACTCTTATCTATTGTTAGATCAAGTAGTTCTATTGGATCTTATAGTGGGCTTCCCATACTATATCCCCTCCCATCCTTTCCAATAGCTTGCTCAGCTTGTGGTTGTTGAACCTCCATCAGAGCTGCCTTGTGACCAAGTCCTCCCAGTTAGTCATGAAAATGGCAGTATTTCTCTCAATAATATGCATCTTTCTTTGCATTCCCACCTTCAACTGCTCATAGACTAGCAGCATCGTCGCGGACGTGTCCCCCATGTTAGTGGTTGAGCTGCCACCTTCAATCGTCCCATTGCTAAAATCAAACATCATTCCACCGCCATAATAAGCTTGGTCCTACACGCCAGAAAACTACAAATTCTCCCAATTAGATTGAAACACCAAATAAAATCTGTGCATAATAGTTGCGAGTCATGAACAGCTATTTTCCCCAAATGGCTTCACAATTAATTTGATGGGCTTTTGTCTGGGATAGATAAAGAAAACCCCTTATAATATCATAAACTAGTGAAGATGAAGAAGAAAACTAGCTTCCATGTGATTTTCATCGAGGCAATAAAATGGAGCAGAGAAATACGATGTTGGATTGCTGCCTGTTTGCGTTTGTTATAATTTGACTTTAATCAGAAACTATAAGAGTGGGGGAAGGGGCAGTTGAAGTGCTCCGGAGATGGCTCAGTAAGGGAAAGTGAGACCAACCCGTCAAAGTCAAAATAGAAGTTAGTAATGGAAAACAGATGGGATAATCATGTGCAGAGCTCTGTGATAAGACCTGTGTTGCTGCTCAACCCAAATATTCAAAATATAATAAGTTGTGCACAATGGAGTGAAACACTTGAGCCACTTGTTCACTTTAGAATAAGCCTACTATTATGGGTGGTATTTAAAAAAAAATGGTGCCATCACATTATACAATGAATTATTATTATTTGCTTTGTTTTGGGTGTTTCAAATCTGGATTTAAAAAACACTTATTGAGCATTATAAGTCTACAATAGAAGCAATATGAAGCCTTGTTAAGCTTGGTTGTGGAAGATTTTTTTAACTAATATGTTCAATGTTCATTGATTTGACCCATTATTAAGATATGCCATTTTGGCCAGCATATCAATCAAAGATTTAAATATCATCATAATTTTGAAATGAGCAGAAGAATGTTTTAATTTTGTCCAATGGCTGTAGGGTTAAGATAAAACTTAATTTGAAATTAACGCTTGCTTTTAAAGTTTCACTACATCCAGTTCATTAGAGGTCTAATATTTAGTCGCATATCACACTTTTTCTGTCATTCTATATGCAATATGGGAGCAGCAAGTTGTTCATGCAAGTAACTGTCTGATGGCAGGTTGTTGCAGCTGGTGATCTTTGTGCCATTTGTCAAGAGAAGATGCATGCCCCAATCTTACTTCGTTGTAAACACATTTTCTGTGAAGACTGTGTATCAGAGTGGTGAGACTTGCTTTGCTGTTATCTTGTGTAATGGTCTGCATAAGAATATACAATTTTCATTTAGATTTCCATTAAACTAGCAAGTACTATACTTATAGAACAAACTAGCAAAGTACTGCATGGGTAGTTTACAGAACGTGAAAAATCAAGTTAAAAAGACATTTTTCAAAAATCAACTGAATAAGTAAATATAAGTTTATAGCTATTAAAAACATATGATATTTTTGACTCCTGATTACCTTATTTGGCAGGTTTGAGAGGGAAAGGACCTGCCCATTGTGCAGGGCTTTGGTAAAACCTGCAGACCTCAGGTCATTTGGTGATGGCTCTACTAGTTTGTTTTTCCAGTTATTCTAAACTCATATGATACAAGCCAGGAAGTTTTTTCTGCTTTGAAGCTTTATTTTTAAAGCAGCAGTCCTGATCAATACACAACACATGTAAAGTTCACTGGAGGCATTTTGGAGACACTCTGAGAAAAAGATGAATGCAGCTAAATAGGAATTAACCTGTCACCTATTATTCATATAATGTACTTGTAAGAGGTTAAGTGTATTATATGACCCTGTAACTAGGTTTATTCAATGTAAAATTAAATGTGAGTCTTCATCTACATAAGGAACGAAGGCTTCTTTCTGTCATATATTGTGAATCAAATTAGCAAATTTAAACGTTTTGTTTGTATTTGTTAGAATGTCGCCTGCGAGACTAACATGTTTGCGAGACTGGCAGGTTATAGAAATCTCACGTTTCAGTACATTTAATAAATCTGTGATATTCTTGACACTTAGATTTCTCATTTCTCCTTAAAGCACAATCAAGTAACATATGGACGACTTCTCAACCTTCATTAAATTTGTCTGATTTGATTCATTCAGCATGTGTTTGATTGTGTTCACAAAAAATGTTTTTAAATAATTTATCATACAAAATTGATTATGATTAATAGTGAGTTAAATGTAATTTAATTTATATTTAGATATATTGACATATTGGAAATCTGAATAATAAATTTTAGTGTCAATTATATTTGGATTTAATACATTTGAAATGTTAATACAATGTCGAATATTTGTAATAAAGGAGTTTTCCAAACCAACCAACCTCCTCAGTGACAGGAAAGTTACACACAAAACATGAGTATCAAATACTCCCATGGTCTTAATTCCTCAGTCCTCACATTGCAATCAGGTAGAGTAAATAAATGAATGTATGTTAGAAAACATGCATATATTTCTCAAAACAAGAGAATCTCATCTAAGACTATAACCCTATAAACAAAAAGTGTGATCATTTTGCTGCATTTTGAGATGCCGAGTCACTAGTAGGAGTCTCATTTTCTTCTGATGTACTCTCATCATCATCATCTCCTTCTGGCATAGGAAACATTACTTTTGTTGAACCTAGAGAAACCTCATCAGGCGATGTCGGTGTAGGTGATAACGAGAGTGGTGAGCCAGATAGCAACCTAGTGATTCCATTCACAGGCATTGGATAAAGTTCTGCGACATCTTCCATTCCCTCGTCAAGTTGCACCACATCCTGCATTGTCAGCTGATGATACTCCACAATCTCCCTCAAGAAACGGTTTTCCCTTGAATATGTCTCATTTTCATTAGCCAAACGAGACTTCTCAGCTAAAAGTGTTTCCATTTGATGCCGAATCTGAGGAGATCACAAATTTAGTACCAGACCTCAAGTTCAAAATGTAGTAGTAATAATAATGCATTATGCATATAATGCATTATTATTACTACTAAGAGAGAGACTAATGTAGCATAGATGCTTCAAAAGAGAGAGACTAATGCTACATTACATAATAACATGGCACTTTCAAATTTCTTTGGCTTCTAAATGCAAATTCAAATAGGTAAACAACAAACTGATTAATACCAGATCATCATCATCACGGATAAGTCCCTTATCGCTTCCTTCTCGTTCCCTGAGTAATTTATTTTCTTCTTCAAGTTGAGCACAGCGCGCTTTAGCAAATGCTAAATCCGCTTTAACGGTTTTTAGCTCACGAAGAAGTAATTTTGCTTTTGCTGCTGTTGCCAATGCCACCTGAAATCAAAACAAAAGAAAATGTAGCTTGTTTGGTTACATAAGAATTTAACAGAACTTGGATAGTAGAATATGTATGTTCCATATGTGAACTAAATTTAAATTCATCACATGAGAGGGACTAAGAACAGATTCTACTAAGTTAAACTGTATTAACAATTCCAAAATCATTATAAGATGTTCTATCATCTATGCCTACACTATAACAACTAACGAGACTGCAACCATTATACATGATTACACAGTTGGCACCTTACGTCTCGGGATTGCTTAAGTTGTGTTTCATGATTAGAATGAGACTGTGTCTGATCTGATTGCTGCCATGGATTCCTTATACTTGAAGCTTGGTTTGTGTCACCTTTTCGCCTGATTTGAGATCTCAGGTCTGCTGTCTTACTCTCCACCATTGTTTTTCCATCCTGAGGAAATCAAAGAAGTTACATTGAAGATATATAACAATCATCGATGCGCACTATCAAACACATGAAATTCAGATAAACACATCAACAGATAGATAGATAGAGTTACCTCATAAGCCTTCTCAAAGGTGTCACCTAGATGATTAAGGGAAGTAGTGATTGCATCCAATCCCTTCCGAACCGAAGCATTGTCCATTCTTTTATTAGAGTCAGGAGGTTGATAAAATGGCTTCAATAACCACGCCAAACCAAAAACTCAAACAAATAAGTTGATTCATATTCAACAAATATTGCAAATGACAAACATATATTCATGCAGCAATATATGGTAATCACCTGAGTTGAAAAAGGGCTAGAAAATGTATTAAAAGAGTGTGATTTGACAGTTTGTGGCTTGGTGTCATGTTGCAGCGGTGGATCTGAATTGCTTTCATCAAGAATTGATTTGGCTTTATGAGCCAAAACACCCCAGAAACCAGTTTTGTTGTTGTCATTTCCATAAGCATCAAAATTCTACATCAACGCATTCATTCAAACATTATATTCAATTTAAGATCGATCTATCTGTCTATCTATTCGTATTTATTAACGATAATATAAACAAATGTCGTGCGTACACAATCATCAACACCTGATATCAAAATAAACGAGAGAAATTGAGAACCGAATACCGTGGATCGTTGATGATCAGGATGAGAGGAGTCAAAGGCAAAAGAAAGAGCAGGTTGACGACGAGCAGCGGAGGCTTTAATGGCTTGAGCGGCGAGCGAAGGAGAAGGAGAATTAGAAGAAGAGAGGGAAGGTGTAGAACCATTTTGTTGATGAGAATCTTTAGGATCATCATCCAATGATGAATGAATTTCTTCTTTGAATGTTGAAGCTCTTGATATGCCTTGCCTTCTTCTGTACGCCATCTTATCTTTTGCTTCCACAACCAGAATAAGAGAAAGAGAGAGAGAGAGATCACAAAAACAAGCAAACGTTTCTGATTATCATTCAACTTCCACCTAACCAACTTTTTCCGTTTTTATCGTTTTTTTTTTTGAGGGACATGAAATGAAATATCAACCATATTATTAATAAAGTACATAGATTAAATGTAAGTTTTGTATGTAAATTGTGAAATATTTGGTATAAGAATAAGACAGGCTTCAAAAAGGTCCTATTTGGTGACAACTCAACCGAAAAGACCCAGCTAAGAAAAGCTGTTTCAATCACATATATTGAATGGATTATTAATGTACAAACATTTTTCGCATATTGATATTGATTCTCATCTTTTTTCTTCTACATCGTCAAAAAAAAATGAGTTATAATTTTTATTAAGATTAAATATATTTTTGGTCCTTTTAAAATATTGTCAATTTTGTTAAAAATAATGATGTGGCATTGCCAGATAGCTAAGATCAAACACATATTTGAGCCCATAAAATTTTATAACTAATCGGTGGCTAAATTCCTAACTAATTTGTAACAAATTATTTTGCAAGAATTCTGATTCTTAAAAAATACCGTATGTTCATGTTGTTGACACTCACCTCTCCACGTATATCTCCTAAAAGTTAGAGCTAATTGTGGAGCTTGTTTTGACCTTAACATTTAAAACTAGAACCAATTCATGGTCATATTTACATGGATGCAAGTATTAATATGTAGTAAATGATTTCATGCTTTATAAGGTTTTCCGTACTGTATATCTGTCCAACACTAATGATACATTTCCCATTCCCATAATATCCGTTTTTGTTTTGTTTACATATTGTATCTCTCTCCAACAGTAATGATCCACTTCCCTTTCTCATAATGTCGATTTTGGTTTTCCATACATGAAACATATGGAAGACGGTTGGCAGCAGGTCCTTTTTTGCTTCCTTGTTCTATGGTTCATTAAGTGGTAGTGTATATTTTTGCATCATTGATTAAATTCCTAACTAACGTGCAGATGGAATTGTTATCAATATGGTTCGTTAAGTGTATGTTTCTGTTATGAGAATCTAGAGGCATGTTCTATGATGAACATATTGATATTTGTTATGTGATGAACACTATGAACTTCTGAAGATCTCGGTGTTATTATCATTATTATTTCCATTGGCTTATTTTTAAATATGAATGTTGTTGAGAACAAATTAGTCACAAATTAAATAATATCATTTAAATAAATTTGTGTGTGAGCCAAGATAGTGAGGAACATGAAGAGCTTTCAACCAATCCTTACACATATACTGTTTTTTCAAAACCAATATTCTACGATGAATTTGTTAGAGATTAACTACAATTTTAGCTGCGAATTAGTTATGATTTTTTAAGACTCAAATATGTTATTGACCTTAGTCACGTGACATGTCACGTCAGTATCTTTGACCGTTGATACTGTCACGTGTCGTGTCACATTAACTTCTGTAATAAACATTGACAGAAAGAATTAATATTGTAGACGGAAAATTTTAAGAAGATTATTTTTTAAAAGAAATATTTTAAGAGACTAAAAATGAAATTGATAATATTTAAAGGGAGAAAAAAATATTATCAAAATATATGTTACTTTAACAAAACCAAATTATGTCCACAATGTTGATACTAGCAGCAATACGTTAGTTGATTAATTCTTATTAGTTGCTATTTGGGCTTTAGCTTGTATTTGGACCTGAGCATGTTACCTATATAAAGGGTCATTACTTTGTAATCCACATATACCGCAACAACAAAATAACAGTTTCAGTTTTAAGAGTTAGTTACACTAACTAACTCAACAATCTCTCTTCTTCTCCTTCTTCTTCTTCTTCTTCTTCTTCTTCTTCTTCTTCTTCTTCTTGTTTTTCACTATATTTATCTTTCTTGAATCCTTTGTTCCAATAAATTGGTATCAGAGTTTGTTTGCGATTCAGAGAGAATCTAATGGCAAACAAATCAACAACCTTAACACAATTTCTAGCAAATCTTCCGGTTTTCAAAGGTGAAAACTATCAAAGATGGGTGGCACAAATGAAGGTTATTTTCAGATTTCAAGATGTTATAGAAATCGTGAATGATGGAATGTCACAACTGAAGGAAGATGCTACGGAAGCCCAGAAAGCTGCGCACAAAGATCAGAGGAAGAAAGATGGCAAGGCATTATTCTTGATTCACCAGTGTGTGGATTGTGATGTATTTGAGAAGATAATCGAAGAAGAAACAACAAAAGAAGCTTGGGAAAAGCTGAAGTATTTGTATGGTGGAGATGAGAAACTGAAGAAGGTAAAGTTACAGACTCTGAGAAAGCAGTATGAGATGCTGCAGATGAAAGAGGATGAATCTATTTCAGCATATTTCTCAAGAGTGGTGATGCTAACAAATCAGATGAAGGCGTGTGGTGAAGTATTAACGGATCCGCAGAAGATATAAAAGGTATTAAGATCTCTAATTGCAGATTTGATTACTTTATTGTAACAATCGAAGAGGTCAAGAATCTATCTGAGATGAAGTTGGAAGAACTTCAAGCTTCTTTGGAGGCTCATGAAATGAGGCTGCAACAAAGAAACTCAAAAAGGAAGAAGACAACTGAACAAGCATTGCAATCAAGATTCAGCAAGAAAGCTGGAAAAGAGAAATCGAAGCAGCATAAGAATCTTGCTGGTGATGAGAAGTCAAGCAAGAATACTGATTCGAAAGGAGTGTGCAACAAGTATTCTGGAAAGAAAGTTAACACGAAAGGGGTGCAATGTTACAATTGTCAAGGTTTTGGCCACTATGCTAGAGATTGTCGAAGCAAGAAAGCTGCAAGGTCAAAAGATAGTGATGAAGCTTAATATGCAAGAGCTGAAAGTAGTGATTCTGATGATGCGTTGTTGCTAGTGAACACTCAATCGAATACTGAGAAAAACAACATGTGGTATCTGGATTCAGGATGTAGCAACCACATGACTGGCAATAAAAACTGGTTTACCTAGTTAGATGAGTCAGTCGAAAAGGTGATAAATTTTGCAAATGGCAGGCATATCAAATCAGGTGGTAGAGGAGACATTTCGATTATTAGGAAGGATGGTCGAAAGACTACTATCAATGAAGTTCTGTATGTACCTTCAATGACAAGTAACTTGATAAGTGTAGGTCAAATACTTGCAAAAGGCTTCAATATGAAGTTGGAGAATAATCAGATGAAGGTATATAGGGCTGATGGGAGGCTAATCATGAAAGCACCATTAGCGGAGAACAAAACCTTCAAAGTCGAACTCAACACATCAGATGAGAAATGTCTTGCTTTAAATGTAGAAGAAGACAAGAACTGGCTATGGCATCACAGGTATGGACATCTAAACTTCAAAAGTTTATGTATGCTCAATCAGAAGAAAATGGTGCTTGGATTGTCGTATGTGAAGGAACCAAAGCAGATATGTGAAGAATGCTGTAAAGCTAAGAAGGCAAGGAAGGCATTCAAACGTGATTTTCCTATAAGGTCAAGGCAAAAATTGGAGCTGGTTCATTCATATGTGTGTGGACCTTTCGAAGTAAAATCCAATGGAGGTAACATGTATTTCCTTACTTTCATTGATGAATTCACCAGACATATGTGGATTTAACTCATTGAAAGGAAGAGTGAGGTATTCACACAGTTCAAGAAGTTCAATTTGCATGCTGAGAAACAAAGTGGCTGCAAATTGAAAAAGTTAAGAACTGATGGTGGTGGTGAATATACTTCAACATGATTTGCCAGATTTTGCAATGAGGAAGGTATAAAGCATAGAATGTTGCACCCTATACGCCTCATCATAATGACATCGCTAAGAGAAAGAATAGAAGTGTACTGAACATGACCAGATGTATGTTAAAAGCTAAGAATATGCCTAAGAGTTTTTGGGCTGAAGCAGCTTCGACAACAATATACATTCTAAACATATGCCTAACAAAGAAGATGGTCGAAAAGACACCACACGAGGCTTGGACAGGGTCGAATCCAAATGTAAGTCATCTTAGAATTTTTGAATCAATGTGTTTCAGGCATGTACCTGAAGAATTGAGAAAGAAGATGGATGATTAAAGTGAAGTCATGATGCTCATAGGTTATCATTCGACTGGTGCATACAAGTTGTATTCACCAATCGAAGATAAACTAGTGATTTGTAGAGATGTTCTTGTAGACGAAAGCAAAGGATGGGATTGGAGTCGAAGTGCAGTTAGACAAGAATCAGATACAATCACAACTGTGTTCGAAGAAGATGAAGCTTCGACAAGTCAAAATGAACAAGGTGATACTTTGGATGGTCGAAATGAAGAACCACCTGTGCAGAACGAAAGAAGATCCACAAGAACAAGAACTGAGTTAACTAGGCTGACTGGATATGAGAGGTTTCCAGATCAAGCAATAGATGCTGATGGTGACTTAATCGAAGAAGCCATGACGATGGCTGAAGCAGAACCAATTGATTTGGGTGAAGCCTTGAACAATTCGAATTGGTGTGAAGCCATGAAAGATGAACTTAGAGCCATTGAGAAGAACAACACTTGGGAACTTGTCGAAAGAACCAACAAGAAACCGATTGATGTGAAATGGATCTACAAGGTGAAACGAAGGCCATATGGTGAGATTGCAAAGTACAAGGCAAGACTGGTGGCCAGAGGTTTTTTATAACAACCAGGTATTGACTTTGATGAAGTGTATGCGCTTGTTGCTAGGATCGAAACAATCATGATTGTTGTTTTGATAGCTGCATATAGAGGATGGAAAATGCACCAACTTGATGTGAAGTTAACATTCTTGAATGGGCCTCTGGAAGAAGAAGTCGATGTCACTCAACCACCAAACTTCTACGTCAAAGGGCAGGAGTCAAAGGATTACAGATTGAGGAAGGCTCTCTATGGCTTGAAGCAAGCTCCTAGAGCTTGGAATAAAAGGATAGATAGCTTCCTAATCGAAGTAGGGTTCAAAAAGTGTGTC